CTCCCAGCAACTCTAGACAGTTTACAAATGGTTTAAAATATTTTTGAGTACAAAAATACAAACAAGATGGCAAATAAAATAAACCTGGATGGGAACAAGGGAAAGGATGAAAAGAAGCATAAATTGTCCTTGTCAAATAGCTGAGTGAAGAACCTTGTCTTCAAAATATCACTGGGTGGGGGATATTTGAATCTTGAGGTGAACCTCCTTCCAGAAGGCAGGTGCTGATGCAGAGGATATGCAAAAGATGGTATTGATTAATTCTTGGAAACCAGGGTCTGCTGGATTGAACTGGCCAAACAGATACATGGGAGATTGGTGGTCCCTCAGGAAACCAAGTTCTCTGCCATGTTAGGCTTTAGAGGTAATGAATTCATACAGAAGCAAAGTGGCAACCAAAGCAGGTGTCACATTCTTAAACCATTAAAGGGAAAGGGAAGGTTGGACACTGGTTAATAGATATGGAAGACTGTTGGATCTAATATTGGGCTCTTGAGAAATATACCACCACCTCTTTTAAGAGTGGGGGCACTGCCCCCTCTCTCAGAGAGGCCAACATTACATCACTGACCTCCCTGGCTGCTATCATGACCCAGAAAGCTGCTGGATCCAGTGAACAAATGACAGTATAGGGAGCCCTGTTCTTTCTTTTGGAGTTACCATCATAAACTTATCCCAGATCACACCACCAGACTGTACCTCAGGCACTCTGGCCTGACACAATCAGAGTCCAAGGCAGAGTGAATCTGAGTGACTATCTTACAGACAGCCAGAATAATCTTAAAAAATGCCTCAGATGTTCTGGATGGGCCCTCCTTACCCAGTAGGAATGGATTATCGGAAACAGATCTGCTGGATGGTTATCACAGATGCAATAAGAGTGGAGAAATACATTTTGCCACCCTCATTGTGATGAGGTAATGCCTGATATGGCTGTTTACATGTGGCTGGTCAGTTTTCCTCCAATTGCAGAAGACTTCCTCCTCCTGGCATCTCTTCTAGCACTTCATTTCCCAGAGCTTCAAGTAAACTAGTTGTACTTGAATTGGCATGCAGGAAGAGGCCATACACGAGTGATACAATTCAAGGCCCCACCCATCTATTGCAGGCAGCGGCTTTTATCAGATCCTACAACAACTAAGGGTTGGACTATGTGATTTTTGATCATATTTTCCAGCTGTAAGATTCTATAATCTCTCTGGCTATGGTGCACTGTAAGAAAATGTTTTCTTGTCTTATTACGTACCACATTCATTTCTTTGCTTGCTTTGAAGTGGAGACATCAGAGACAGATAAAATACAGCCACCAGCCAATTGTAGCCCCCACCTCATTGTGGAGGAACAGGAGGTGAGGAGCATTCTGAGGGCTGTGGATCCTAGAAAGGCTGACAGTCCTGACGGTATCTCTGGCTGAGTGCTTAAATACTGCACTGATCAGTTGGCTGGAGTCTTTACCAGGATCTTCAATTGGTTTTTATCCCAGTCCACTATTCCTCGTGTTTGAAGGCATCCACCATTGTTCTGCTGCCAAAGAAGTTCCCTATCAATAACCCCAATAATTACAGACCAGTGGCACTCACTCCTATCATCATGAAATGCTTTGAGAAATTGGTCTGCTAGCACATCATTTCTGGTCTTCCACATACATTTGATAAACACCAGTTTGGATACAGAAGAAATAGATTTACAGAGGATGCTATAGCCATCACTCTTCACGCTGCTCTGACTCATCTACAACAGCAGGGGGGCTCTGTGAGGATGCTTTTTGTGGATTTTAGTTCTGCGTTTAACACAATTCTTCCACATAGACTAGTGTCTAAACTTCTGGACCTTGGGCTTTCTAATTCAATCTGCCTTTGGATTATGGATTTCCTGTCTGGCTTCTCACAGAGGGTCAGATTAGGTCATCATACCTCTTCAGCCCTTATTTTTAACACTGGTACACCACAGGGTTGCATGTTGAGTCCCTTACTCTATACTCTTTATGTGCATGACTGCATTCCCACTCACGTTAGTAATACTATTGCTAAATTTGCAGATGATACAACAGTGGTGGGACTCATCTCTCTCTGCCTACAGAGATGAGGTGGACTAGTTGCTTTCGTGGTGTGGAGACAATAACTTGGTCCTCAACACCAATAAGACCAAGGAGCTTATAGTGGACTATAGAAGGAACAGATCAGACATCCAGCCCTTGCTTATCAATGGAGACTGAGTGGAGCAAGTGGCCAATTTTAAGTTTCTGAGCATTACCGTAAAAGTGGACCTGACCCGCAGCACTGGTCAAAAGGGCCCAGCAGAGATTATACTACCTGAGACTTCTCAGAAAACAACATCTGAATGAAAAACTGCTGGTGACCTTCTACCGCTGCACCATAGAGATTATCTTAACTTACTGCACCTCTGTATGGTTTGCCAATTGCACAGGGGCAGATAGGACAGCGCTCCAGAGGGTTAACGTCATTGCCCAGATGATCATTGGTTGCCCTCTCTGCTCTTTGGAAGAGCTTTATAGCTCCCACTGCTTTAAGAAAGTTCAAAACATTCTTAGAGATCCATCTCATCCTGGGAACCCTTTTTTTTAAACTGTTAGCATCTGGCAGACAGTACAGACTAATAAAAACAAGGACAAATAGGCTGAAAAACAGCTTCTATCCCATGGCAGTAGCTCTGTTGAATTCTACTATATAATGCAGTGTTGGTGTAGTGTTGTGGGTTTTCAATTCAATGTGTGGAGTGTGAAGGATGTGTGTTTGTGTTTATTTTCATGGTCATGATGTGCACTGAATATGGTGTTTGATTTCGTTGTACGAGGTGCAATGACAATAAACTAAATTAAACTAAACTAAACATACGTGATACTGACATACTAACTTTCATATACAAGCTTTGAGAAATCTGGGAGAACTAGCAAAGTGCCAGGAGAAGAACAAATGCTCCTATCTTTTAAAAATAAGAAAAGGAAAATACAGAGAGTTATATACCAGCTAGTCTGACAATGCTATCTGGGAATTTCTTAACTAATTAATAAAATGGTTGATTAAAAGCACCTTGAAAACATTCTCTTAATTACTAGAAGTCAGCATGGATAAGAAAATAATTCTTGACAATTTTTTTTTTGCTTTCTGATAAGGCTATTTCCTTGCTTAGCTGTGAGAATAATAGACATAATTGATTTTAAAGCATTTGATAATGTGCATCATATGTTTTGATTAGCAAGCTAGTTAAATATGGACTGCATGATATGAGAATTAACAGGATATATAACTGAGATGAAAATTATGCTCAAAGAAAGGTTCTTTTAAACTGGAATGAAATATTGAGATAGTTTGCTATCCCCAGTCTTTAATATTTTTATTAATATTTTTTAAGGGAAGGGAATGTGTTTTCAAGTTTCACAAAACTTTGAAAACAAATTCAAAATTCTTTTGAGAAGTTAGAGAAATTGTTTAAACAACAGAATAAAAATAACAGAGGCAACTAAAGTTCTTCACATAGGAAATTATGAATAAGAAAGGATTTGGAAATATTTGGTTCATTAATACTGCTTGTGAAAAAAATGGGAATATTAGTTGATTACAAAACTGAATATGTATCGGTTGTAAAATAATCAAGTGCAGTTTTTGGCTTTATCAACGGGAACACTGTTTCCAAACAGCTCAATTTTATTCCAGTTTAGACAGACCTCATCATGAGCATTGTGTTCAGCTGTAGGGATCATACTTGAAAAATTTGGAGAACTTGAAATAAGTTCAGAAAAAGACAATGAAGATGATGAGGGCATTAGTAATTAAGTCCTATAGAATGAAATGGAAGAATGTTTAGCCTTGAAACAAAGGAATGAAAGAAAGATAGTACTCCTCAGTTATCTGAATAACATGTATAAATGGATTTAAGGTATGAAAAGGCAGTGAATGTTAGAAAAAACCTTAAAGGTAAGGGAAGTTTGACTGTAGAGCCAATTACCCAGAGAGGTAGTTGGCTCCCTGTCACCGGAGTGGTTCAAGAAGAGGCTAGAGAGCTTTATAGACATCTGTCTGTGGTGTTGGATTTCTGTAGTGGGCAGGATATTAGATTTGATGGTGTCATTCATCTCTATAATTCAGTAATTCTCAAGATCTGCTTGTGTAAGCAGATAATAACTATTGATTTTATTTAGATTCTCTGTGTTTGAAGTGTTCCTTTTCTTGTTTTTCCCCTTGGTGTTTCCTTTCCCAATAAAATGCACTTTTATTTCTAGAGTTTGGGCATCAATGGTTTTAAAGAATATTTAATTAAAACTAAAAAAAAGTATATTGGTGAAAATTAGGAGAAGCTGTGCCAATTAAGTATTGTTTCATCATGTATTGAGTTCCTTGGAGCCACTTGAAGGAGGAATTCAAAATTCAGAATCACCCATTTAGATGTTTTCTGCTAGCAATATTAAACGTGTTAGCTGGTAAGAATAGGCAATAAAAACATTGGCAAAACTTTTATAGACAATCTAAAACTTGTTGGCTTTCCAAATATCTTATTTTGTTTAATATTATGTAGAAATGGCTGAATTTTATTTTCTTTATTCTGAAGAAGGCGGCCCAGCCATGAAATTGTGCTATTTCCAGTACATTTCCTCATAACAGAATTAGGAAAAAAATAAATATATTTTCTTATTATGAAATTGGACTTTCCAAGGAATTAATCCTACTTTGATTAAGAATCACCATCTTGTTGGTAAAGGGATACGGAAGCTTTTGAATTGGTCTTCCTAAAGTCTTGACTGGGGGGGAAAATCAAGCTTTAGTCAGGGTGTTAGATCAAGAAATATATGTTTTTTTTTAAAAAGAAATTGTTCTTAATTAGATCCAATAATGTGTACACTATCATCTTGTATCTTGCATGTTTACACTATCATCTTGCCTATAGAAATACAGTTTTTCCAGATAAATAATAAAATAAATGTGTATTTGAATTATATGGATAAAACAGTTTATGTATCTAACTCATCTCCTCTTCTTCTGCAGCTACTGATCTTCTTTTGGCTTGGAATCCAATTTGTCTGGGTTTGATCGAAGGAATTATTGGCAAAATTCAGCTTCATACAGGTACGGATAATAAAATATTTGTTGAGCCTGAAGAACTAGTTAAAATAATTCTCAGTTTGTTATGCGTTAGGAACCTCCATTCTAAAATTACCTATGACAGACAAAATGCTATATATCTGATCTTTGCCTATACTTCTATCAATGTAATGTATCACTTTTTTGTTGAATTAATAAAGAATTGGAAAGCATATAGCTGTTTAAAACTATGTCATAGTTCTTGATGAATTGTGTTTTTGTGATTTATCAAATGATGTTAGGAAAGAAAAATATACATATATGAATGAAATATATACACATTCATGAGCGTATTATGAAAGGAAATAGTTTAAGTTCCTTTAGTAATTTATGTGTAATATATTAGTAATATGTGGCTGTAAAATATTAATGAGAATTCTTGTAACTGTAAATTTTGTTTGGTATTATAAATAAAACTGAATTGAAAATTCTGGAAGAAATATGAAAATATCACCAATATTATATGAAAAGGCAGCTTTTTGGAGAGCTGATTACTAATTGGACTCTACAAAGCATTTAAAAGATGCCTTACAAAAGATGTTATTGTGAGCGTAGTATTTTTCTTGAGAGCTTTATAGCTTTGAAGGGTGTTTCTGGCTTTCTGCTCTGTGTTTATATACATGTTCTCCTCCATGCTGCATCGAGAGCCCAGGATGGGTTGACTCCTTCCTATGATGTCATAGCTGAGTCTGTACTAAGATATAAAAGCCAGCCCCCGGGAGAGACCCCAGCTTTTGACTCAGCTCCTTTCAGTCAGTAGCTGTGTCTCTGAACGCATTCTGTTAGATAGCAATCACCAGCGATCTCCAGTACTTTTTTCCTTTCTTCAAGCAGCTCCCAGGGATCTGGGCAGCTGCTCTTTCAGGAAAGCCCTGCAACATTGGGAGCAGCGTCACAGAGCTCTCTGCAGGCAAGCTGGGCAGCGTCTGCAGACCTCCCCCACGCCTGCAGTTTGGAGCGATCGTAAACACAATTGGCAAACTGATAAGAGCTCAAGCCAGCTGATCGTGTAGCTGGTTGCTGTGTTTTTCGCTTGCTGACTTCGCTCGGGGCTCTGTATAGCCTAAGGAGCGATTCTTCAATCTTGGAGCCTGTTTTCCTGTAGTCAGCAGCCATCTTGGATTCAAGCCTTCCACCACGAGGTGAATGGCCATTTTGTAAGCCCGGGGTCCATTTATACCCTAAGGGGCTTAATAGAAAAATTTCTGAACAGCTTCTTTCCAACGCAAGAGCCTTTATTTTACAAATGGAGCAAGATAAGGCTCAGGCAGAGCTCCCCCCCCCCAGTGGAACAGTCTCAAGCCCAATAGGAGAAAAAGACATAGGCAGCGCACCCAATCAGTCCAGAGGGAGGTGGCTGCTAAAATCAAAGCTAAGGCTCTAGCCTCTAAGAAGGCAACTCAGGCTGAATTGAGGGCAGAAAAGCACAGACATGCAGCCCTAGAGAGGCAGTTCAACAGAACTATTCAACAGATAGTGATACTCGTGGGCCCCAACCAAGCCCTCCCAGGGGAGGAGAAGTTATCTATGGGCCTTTCCATCCTCCATCCTGGTCTCCTGAGGCTCTTGCTGTACAGTCAGATCCTCAGGATTTAAGCAGATCTGGGCCTTATTTCCAACAGGCTTCTGTGCCCTATGCTCCTCCCCCTCCCTCCAGGCCTCGAACCTCTCCTCAATCTAGGCCTGAAGCCACCTTCACTCCCACAGCAGCGGGCCTTTGACCTTCTGCCTCTACCTGCATAGACCAAGGGATATCCAAGATGTAGTCTCATCAGCCATTAGGCAGGGATTGGCTGAAGGCTTCAAGCAAATTCTTCAACCTCTGGAAAGGGTTCAGGCCTTTCCCCCGCTTCCCATCATTTTGGCAGTAATTCAGAAGATGTTGAAGGAACGTGCGGAGCTCCTCCTCCTGGCACCCTATTGGCCAAGGAGGCCCTGGTTTGCGGACCTGGTCAACCTATCGGTGGCTTCTCCTTGGAGGATCCCTGCCCATCTAATCTCCCTTCACCAGGGGGCTCTGCTCCACCCAGAGCCCCAGTGGTTCAAGCTGACCATGTGGCACTTGAGCGGCAGTGGCTAGAGGAGGCTGATCTTCCAGAAGGGGTCATCCTCACTATTCTGGCTTCTCGCAAACCTTCTACAAGGCACATCTATGATGCCACCTGGAAGGCTTTTTCCCGATGGTGCCTTAGGGAGGGTCTTTCTCCTGCTTCAGCCCAGTTGGCAGAAGTTCTTAGCTTCCTTCAGCATGGGCTGGAGAAAGGTTTGGCCCCCAACATCTTACGCAGGCAGGTTTGGCCCCCAACACCTTACTCTCCTCAGTCCTTTCATGGGGTTCGCTTCCTTCCTTATCCCATCACACTTCAGTCAGGAGGTTTTTGAAAGGGGCTTCCAACCTGCACCCTATGGTGGTTCACAGGTATCCTTCCTGGGACCTTCATTTGGTCCTTAATGCCCTTACAAAGCCCCCCTTTGAACCCCTTAGAACAGTGTCTCTATGTTTCCTGATTCTGAAGGTAGTGTTCCTTGTTGCCATCACTTCTGCCAGGAGGGTTTCCGAGCTTGCTGCTCTTTCCATCAGACAGGACCTTTGTTCCTTTCATGATGATAGGGTTGTTCTTCGTCTGGACCCCTCATTTATTCCGAAGGTTAACACCTGGTTTCACAGGTCCCAGGACATTGTTTTGCCTGACTTCTGTCCTCTCCCGCACCATGACTTAGAGTGGCAGTGGCACACGCTAGACGTAAGAAGGGCTCTTAGAATATACATTAAGCGCACTTCCTCCTTCAGGAAGTCGGAAGCCATGTTTGTTTCCTTTTTCCCTTCTCACTTGGGGCACAAGGCCTCTTCTCCTACTATTAGCAGGTGGGTCAGGTCTTACATTGAGCAGGTCTACAAAGCTGCGGCCCTTCCAGTTCCCTGAGGTCTGACGGTGCACTCTACCAGAAGCGCAGCCACTTCTGCTGCCTGGGCGACCCAAGCATCCTTGGAGGAGATTTGTCGTGCGGCCACATGGACATCCCCGTCTCCTTTCATCAGACACTACCGTCTGGATGCTTTTGCCTCGGCGACTGCAGCCTTCGGCAGACGGGTGCTTCAACGAGTGGTTCCACAGTCGGTGTGATGAGCCAGACGAGGACCCGCCCATGGACATGCAAGCTTTGGTATGTCCCATCCTGGGCTCTCGATGCAGCATGGAGGAGAATGGGTGTTGGTAGAAGTTACCATGAACGCCCTTTCTATCCATGCTGCGAGAGAGCCCAGCCCCTCCCTTGATTTGTCCAGAGAGGGTAAGACATATTTCTGTATTTATTTTGGGCTTTCAGAGACATCTTTCAGTCTGTCAAGTATCTTCGCCAAAGCTGGGGTCTCTCCCGGGGGCTGGCTTTTATATCTTAGTACAGACTCAGCTATGACGTCATAGGAAGGAGTCAACCCATCCTGGGCTCTCTCGCAGCATAGATAGAAAGGGCGTTCATGGTAACTTCTACCAATGCTCATTCTTTGCTAGTAATCACATCAGAACTGCCTGGGTATGCATATTGCATGCAGAGGTGCTTTGGGAACAACTTTTGAAACTCTGGTATGATACTCCAAAGAATAACAATTGCTTTGCTCTGAAGAAGGTGCTTCATTTGTGCTAGCATGCTTTTGTGTATCACTTCCCCCCTCCCCAAAATGGTTTGTATAATCTTAGTTACTACAATATATTAAAGATTTCCTTCACTTAAGTGGTATCATGTGCTTTATGTTACTGTAAAAGCTAGACAAGTTGTCTATAGTAGTGGGCCTCTACCTTTTGGGCACTGGGGACCGGTTCTGTGGAACGAAGGTTTTCTGTTGACTGGAGGGGCATGGCTGCGCATGCTGCTTGCATCCCATGGTTGGAGCTTCACTTGTTTGTGTGACCTGGTTTCTGGCATTCTGCGGACCAGGGCCAGTCCACGGACCAAGGGTTGGGGACCCCTGGTATGAGAAGATTCTCAATCATCCAGGTCATGGTTGTCCCAAAGATGCTTTAAAAAAATACTCAAAAGGCAAATGAAAAGAAAATCCAATTGCCTTTGGGAGCTAGGCAAGTTGTTCTCCACTAAGGAAATAACATTGGACGTACTGTTGAAAAAGAATGAGAAAAGTACTGTATGCACACCTTAAATATTTCAGAAGTGAGGTCAGCCTGCTTTAGATTCCCTTGGCTTGTCCTCTGACTTTCTTTACCTCATTTTTAAATAATACTTAGGCAACCAATATCTCTTGAGAATTGGTTTGTGATGATTATTACAGATGGCTTAATACAATTATTTCTCCAAATTGAGGCATAAAATTCAAGCTGATTTCAATAAAAATGGCCTATGCGTTTTACTTTCATTTGTCTTGAAAGATAGATATGAGAAACTATCATATATTGTATTTGTCGTAATATACTGCTTAAAGATGATTTTTTTTAGCATCAGCAAACTAGATTTTATTTTAGAACCTGAAACCTGTACATAGATTTTATAGTTTGCATTTTATGTCCACAAAGTACTTATTACTAATATTGATGCTATGAGGAAATAAGTTTAAATGAAACCTGAATTTTGGTGTCTCATGTGTAGCATTTTATAAAGGTATGCACTTGTGAACAAGCTTTCTTCAATATTTGGCTTTAATACTTCCTTTATCCAGTTAAAAAGCTATAAGGAAAGTAAGTATAGTAGATTGTACCTTGAGAAACAATACATGAATTTAAGATACTCCTCCCCCCTTTTTAGGGGTGCTTGTGTGAAGCAAATTCTCCCCCCCTCGCAATCTAATCCAATGTTTCTACTGCATCCTGCAAAAATCTAATGGGAATTATATTTCTTAGAGATAATGGAGCCTGTTTCAGAAAATGCAACAGGGAGCTACTGTTTTTGTAAGTCTATTTTGCAGCGATAGCTTAGTTGTCTGTGGCCTTAAACTAAACAAGCTTGTACTTTGTGAACATTTCCTCTGACAGCTATGGGTGGAAAATCTATCCCACTATTGTTTCTTCATCCTTTTTCTGGAAAAAAACCTAAGAGGATAGTATTACTTCTTTGAGAATTTTAGAAAAGCAAATAATTGCTGCTGCTATTTTTTTTAATAAGTTCTTGTTCATAAGAAAATAATTAAAGGAAGAGAGGAAACATTATTTTTAGATAAGTATGTTTATTGAGGAAGAACTGGAATGTAACAAAGAAGTTTGCTGCTTAAGGATCAGTCAGAATCCCCAGGAGTTCTGCCAGTGGAAGAGTAGGGCTGTAGCACTGGTATTTTGCAAAGGAAGAATAATGAGAATTCTATGGGGTTAGTCCCAAATATTCCTTGATATTTTAAAGATTGATTATGGAAATGTAATTGAGAGTTTGGAGCTCATTCTAGCAGCAGAAATGGAATTTTCAGGAATCCTCAGAAATTCAGTTTTATTAATTTTTACATATTTATGGGTTTACTTGTAAAAACAAGTAATGCATTTAACTGAAAGAGAGACTGTTTTTCAAATAATTTGCCTTCAAAATCAAATAAAAATTAAAACACTTTACAAGTACAGTAACATAGTCACATATTTTTGAATATGTGAAGTTTTGAATATTTTAAATATAGTAAATTTATTTATAATGAATAAATAATAGTCTGGGTACTATCGTATTCTAAATGTGTTTGAACAAATTACTTCTGAAAACATTCATATCTCTGTTTTTCCTTTCCTTTCCTTTCCTTTCCTTTCCTTTCCTTTCCTTTCCTTTCCTTTCCTTTCCTTTCCTTTCCTTTCCTTTCCTTTCCCTTCCCTTCCCTTCCTTTCCTTTCTGGAGACAGATTAGTAGAAGGGACTGCATTGTGATTGGATACAAAGAGTATTTAGTTGGAACATTAGAATAAAAAGGGTTTTCATTTTTTTTTGGCAGCAAAATTGTTTTCTAGATGCTGCAGATAAAATACAAAAACCAATTGTCAACATTGTCATTGAACTCTGTATATAAACAATTGCAACATTAGTAACGGCTTGCCTGGTATGGGGTTTGCTCCTGTCATTCAAAGATGGGCATGTATTCTGGCTATTAGTCAAAACAAGAGAAATATCCACTGTGCTTTGAGATGGGTAAAGCCATATTTTTTTCTGCTTGTTTCTTCCTGGCTGTAAATACTGCTTTCTCCCAGACAAAATCATCATCCATGATTATGAGGAATACTTTCATTTATATTTGAATGAATGTAATAAAACAAAGGTCCAAAACAGAAGAAGCAGGAGACATACTCGAAGAAGATCTCATGAATGGTTCCATTGTTTTTTTAAGATCTTCAGATACTTGAGGGAATGTCTGAAAAAAGTGGTCCATGGAGACCGCAAATAGATTAGTAGACTTGGTTTAATGTAACTTGTGCCACTCAAGCTGAATCTTTCTTTTATTTGTACACTGACCTATTTTTAAAAAAATATTGCTTCTGCTTTGCAATATATTTTTAATCAGATAAGCATACTCGCCCAATAGAAAATTGGATATTTTCTTTATCCTCAAGAAAAAGATACTTAATTTAACATGGACTTCTCAAAATAGGCAAGTAAATAATTAAAAAAAGGCAGAAAATCTTTTGAAATACCTATGTATAAATCTGGTTTTCTGTCTCCAAATGAAAAACAATCTTGAATATCTTACATTTCCAATAAATTTCTGCATAGCTGTGTATGACCATGTGGGTGTATACACACACACACACACACACACACACACACACACACACATGCACACGCACACCTGACCTGAAACCCTACTCCAAAGTGCCACAACAACAACAAAATGGAATGGATATTTATTCATCAAAATATTGCCTGTAAAAATGAAATGATAAAAGTCATTGATCTTTCTTCCTCTCACCAAATATAACAATCATTCTCTTTACTCACACACAAACCACTATGAGAAATGAAAACATGTATAGAAACACCTCATCTTTTCTTCAACTGAAATTAGTTATGAAACAAGGTTACATAAGTGGAAATCTGTTTGCATGATTGCATTTTCTTCACCTCACAGGAACTGCAAAAAATATTCTTCTGCCAATCCCAACAGGAAATTTGAGAACATGTAGGCTGGCTGATAGATTATGATGTCATAAAACATTTGTAAAGACATAAACACCTGGGGAGTCTATTCCTTTTGTGGATGGATTTTCATCTGAGGAAAGACCCTGAGATTAAGTTGCTTTCTTTTGAAAGATGTGATGGAATTATTTTTACCAATTCCCTGTTCAGCCCCTGTGCCATTTTCCAATTTTTTTTTGAAACAACTTGTCACAGACTATAAGAAGCTTAAAGGGCAAGGGGGAATTATTCTTCCTGCAGATTTTTTTCCCTTTTTCTGTTAGAACATCTCTAAAGTGGAGTTGTATAGCTGTAACTATGGATATACTCTATTTGAGATTTTTTAAATCTTATTTAACTCATTTGAAACAAACAGATGCGTTAGTTCTCCTTCAGCTACTAAGGCCACTATTGATGCTGACCAAGACAAACTAATATTAGCATAAAAATTATCCTTTAGGTTACAGTTGTATTTTACTGTTCTATGAATGAAGTTGTAATTACATGAATTATCTATTCTGGTTTTGGGCTTTGTTACAATGATAGTATGCTACAGTATCACTCCCTTTTAAAGTATTTAAAAAAAAGGAAACTGGAAATATTTAATTTTAAATCTTCAGAACAAGTTTAATGCTCACTGGCATGCATTGTCATTGAACGTTATATAGTCTTCATAAGGACTGAAAAACATTCTGCCTTATTCTGCAAAAATAATCACTATATATTGTCATTATTGTGTCCTTTGATTCAGTGGAATATTCAAGGTGAGTAGCAGTGATTAAGATGCAGACCATAAACTAAAACTAACTGGAATCAGCAATAACAGATATGGCAAAATGGCTATAGATAATGTTAGTCAGATGTGGCTCTCCTGAGAGTGTATGTTGCGGCTTGGAGATTATGCAATAACTCTTGTTTTACATTTCAATTAAAAAAAATCCCCCTACCTGTTGAATACATTGCTATTTGTTGGATTTAAATCCCATTTATTTTGGGAGCTCAAATCAGTGCTACATATGGTGTGTCTCCTCATTTTATCATAGCCTGGGTTAAAAATGACTGGTCCAAAGCTCCCCAATGAGCAACATGCCCTATAGGATTCACAGTCTAATATATTAACCTGATTAATAAGTTATTTAAAAGCATTGTAAACCAGATTGTATATGCAGTGTTAGGATGGTTAGGCAAGTGTCAGGGCACAAGAAGAATAATTAGGATGAACTTAAATTAAAACTGAAAAATGTAAACTTCTTTTTAAAGCCTATTCTTTGGCTATGGTAGTGTATTCTTTCTCCAAATAAAATTTATTATTATTTTGTTTAACCACCATGTTCATTATTAGAAAAATACCAAAAATCCTATCTGTCTTAGGAAGGGACAGATACTGGTTTGTTCTAGTGAAAGAAAATAATATAGTTTTCCCAGCTCTGGGATTCTGTAACCTTAATTCCATATTGTGAAGAGTGTTAGGCTGTAATTTTGTCAGCCTGATGAAGAGAATATATAAATTTAAAGGTTGCTATTCACCTGGTTAAAATTATAATTGAAACTTCTCTTTCCAAACTAATAGATTTGTATTTCTTTACAGATTTGCCTTGGTGGTTGCTTCTAATTCGCCAAAAAGTAGTTGTTGGCAAGCTTCCAGGAGATCATGATGTATGTAAAATTACGAAAATAGTTGCAATACCACTTTCTGAAGCAGAACCTCAGGATCTGGACTTGGAGGTAAGATGGAATCCCAACAATTCATAAAAGGAGTGCTCCAACCAACTTATCCTGATTGGAATGATATTTTAAGTGGAAATGAAAGTTACCATGATCAAATCAGGCAGCCATGCAGAATAACAATTTTTAGATAAACATTTATCATGTGATCATTAACATCAAGGTTGACTCCAGCCTACCATCCTTCCGAGGTTGGTAAAATGAGGATCCAAATTGTTGGGGGCAATATGTGGACTCTTTAAACTTTTTAGAGAAGGCTGTAAAGCACTGTGAAGCGGTATATAAATCTAAGTGCTATTGCACTTGCTATTATTTGACCCAAAGGATAACTGGATAGTAAGTGGATGTAAACATTTCTTATCAAACATTTGGAGTAATTCTTCATTTTCATCTCTTAAATGCTATCTTTTATTTATCGTTTATTTACTGCATTTATATCTTGTTTCTTGTCCATAGTCGTTTGCATTGTATGAGTTATCTTTTTAATGAGATGTGTCTGCTGTGATTAGATATACAAATGGCAATTAGTTTGCCAAAAAATATTGGTCCAATTGACTTGTTAATTAAATCTTTGACAATGACCTTTCTCAAGTTTATACAGATGGGGTAGAAAAAGCTTTTTAAAATGTGGAACTTTCTAACTTTTAGCAGATACATACTAGATAATTCTTCAGTGATAGCTAGAATGAATTCTATACAACTTTTCCAGGTTTTTTTTTTTTTTGCTATTTGTTATCATTGTTTTATTGTAAGTATACAGAATAGGAAAGGCAGTAGTATATATTTAATAAACAAATATTTTAAAAATGTATTTGATATCATGCTTTTATTTAATGTTCTTAGAAGAATATTGATGAATTCATATTTTATATAACTAAATTCATTAAGCATTTTTAAACAAAATGTATTGCTTTTCAGCCCTGTAAAAAACATCATTTTGGAATATATAAAACAGAGAAAATTACACAGTCTCCAGATGATTCTAAATTTCTGCTGAGAACCTTCACTCAGATAAAAACAAATGTTTCCTCTTCTAATAAAAAGAAGGTGAGAATTATTTATTGGATTTTTGATAGTAGACACTATAAACACTACTCACCCATTTATTTAATTTTGTACTTTTCCTCCAACAAGTTGATAAATATAGTCATAAGTATTTAAGCATATTTCTATTTCACTTATTTTGGAGATATTTCTGGATTAAATTGCCCTTTTCACCTTGTCTTCCACTGTTTATTTCTGCTAGCGTTTTTCCTGTTATACGTCTGAACTTTGCTAAAATTCCCACAAGCATAATCAAAAGCACTTTACTTTATCTGCCAGATCAATTGTTTATCTCCTATTTTCACCCTGCTGAGATACAGTTGACCAACTTTACTACTGGAAGCCCTTTATGCCTTTATATGATTTGACTGGTTCCATCCCTATTTGTTAGATTCAGTTCTAATAAAGCCTTTACCATGTTCTTTCTCTCTCCTTGGGTCCCCAAATATATGTGCTTACTGTTCTCACTTGGAATTTTGTGTACACTAGTATTTCATGTGAGTTTAAACTCTTCTCTATTCCTGATAATTTCTAACTCAGGGATGTCAAACTTACAGCTTGCAGGGGCCAAATGCGCTGGCCCTGGCCCCGTCCAAAGGGGGAAAAAGTCTCAATATGTCATGTGATGCTGCTGTGACGCTGCGTGTTTGACACTGCTGTTCTAACTGGACAATTGAATAGCTCTAAGGATATATTTCATATTAGTATTTGGAAATGTTATCACCATTTCAATCAATATGTTCAATACTGCTTCTAAAGTTCTCCTCCAAATATCCCCTGTCTGCCTGCATCTGTTTGCCCCATGAAAGAATCCCTAGGAACACTTTAAATAATTTATTGTTTTTATCAGTTGCAAAGCCTTGGATTCATTTGCCTTTTTCAGTTTGTGATTGACTCCCCTATGTTACTGTTGAACTTTGCAACAAATGTTTTGTTTCCTCCTCTCCTTCATAGTCAAATCTCAGATATTTCAGCGTTCTATTTGGTTTTCTATAGTCATATTTTTGTCTTCTTGTATCTGGATACAATTGTATGCTGATATTCATATGATCATTCATGCTGGTCAGTATGGTTTCCCTTCTCTGTATTTTAAGATACAGATTAAATTTATCTTCTTTAATTGCCATAGGTTTTATATTGTTTTATCCTACTAATTTCCAGGTTCACAACTCAATCATGCTTTTTTCATAAGTGGCTATATTTTGTTTGTGTTTTTAATTAGCTGTACATGGTATTTGCTGTCAGAGTGATTCTCTGTTTTTTTTTTTTTTTTAACTTGAGGGAGGTCAGTCCACATGAAAAAGAAATTAAAAAAATAATTCCCTCCTGATTGTGTTTAGGAACTGGAATATAGTGTAGTACCGAGTGTGATAATATTTAGTACTTTATTTTTCAAATGACAATTAGTCTGATTCTGCACTAATTTTGTCTACCAACTAGTGTTTCATACATTGAACATCCTTGTTCTGAAAAAAATATGTACAGAATTTCAGGATACTAGTTTGTAGATGATGAATAGCAAGGGCAATAAAGGACATCCTACAATTATCTGGAGGCCCTTGTGCAATAAAAGATTCTGATCCTCTGCTGCTGATGTGGAACCAAAAGAAATATTGAAAACGCAGTGAGGGAAAGGGTAAAAATCAAATACTGTAACTATTACTGCACAGTAGATTATTAGTAACATCAATTTTCATTTAACATATTCCCTATTAAAGCATACAACAAAATCAAAGTGTCTGAGTATTGGAGAAAAAAAACATCATGATACAAATGCTTTGATATGCAGATCAAAAAATATTACATATGAAACCGCATTAATAGCCATGGTCTATAGAGCATATAAGAATGTAGACTAAAATGTTATTTTGAAACAAATGGATTTAAATCAAAGTTGCATTGCCTCCAATATTATAGTTCTTCCATAAATACATTTATCAACAGAAATTTATAAGCTATAGTTGCTCTGAATTCTTTTCAGTAATGCTGATGCAGAAAATGTTTTTAATGCAATATAGCATACATCTTACATTAAAGGGGACTTCCCTTGAAATGCATTCAGAAGCTTCAATTGGTACAAAGTGCGGCAGCACAATTAAGTTTTTGTGGCCAATAGAGTGACCCAAGTTGCACCACTGTTTCGTGAGCTGCCAGTTTGCTTCTGGGTGCAGTTCAAGATGTTGGTTATGAACCCTACATAGCATAGGTCCAGATTACTTGATGAACCATCTTGTCCTTCTAAGACAAGCCTGTTGGTCAAGAAACTCCAAGAGAATGGGATCTCTGCTATAGTGCCGGCTTTCTGGAACATTCTGCCTTCCAGGAGGTTTGCCCTCACCCTCCTATTTTTCTGCAAGGGCCTGAAGACCTGACCCCACCTCTCCCCTGCACTTCCTGCTCTCCCCTGCCCATCTTTTTAATTTGTACTTTGTACTTCCGTTGTTTACTGTTTTATTCCTTTGCTATGTTGACATTTTTTATTCTTTTTTTCATTTTATTGTTGTAAGCTGTCCAGAGTAGTCCCATAGCAAGACGTAAATTTAACAAATAAGTAAATAATTAAATATCAACCTCACGAGTGGACTTAATGGATCATGTCTTCACTTATGAAGACATCGATTAATTATTAATTGCTGTATTTTGAAGCAATAGATTTTGTGGTTCAGGAGAAGAAATTAACTATATTTACAATTGGCAACTTTTGAAGTAGTTTATTTATGAATGGATATTTGTAGAAAGTAACTAGAGATACTGTCTTTTAAAGTTGTGTATACAGGATTTAAAGCTCATTGTGAGCAGAACGTTTTTTTTAAAAAAATAAGAGATGTCCTCTTTCTTTCATTAAATAAAAATAGTACCTTTTACATTTTTTAATATTTAGGACACTGTTGGAATATGTTTGAGTTACATTATGTAATATGTAGAACTAGTACAATCCTATATCTAATGAAGATTCTGTGCAGCATGTGGTCTTTCCTCCTGTAACTCTAGATGTTTCTTCATACTATTCTTGGTCATAAATTTGGTAGGTAACTTTACCTCAAGTGTGATTCTCAGCCTTGTAGAATATAATAATAACAGAATATTTTATGTGGAAAACGTATCTACAATGTTGTAATCCTCACTGTATTTGTTTGAAAAGACCTATGAAAGATTTATATTTCTTTTATTTAAACAAAAGCAAATGGTTGATGGTACGTTATGAAAAATCATGTTTAGGTTAGTGACAAGTATTCAGAGGTCTCCAACCTTGGCAACTTTAAGACTTGTGGACTTCAATGGAGAATTCTGGGAGTTGAAGTCCACAAGTCTTAAAGTTGCCAAGGTTGGAGACCTCTGACTAACTCACTATACTGAAATAGAACATTCTGCCCTTTTGTAGGTTAAAGAAAGCAAAGAGAAAGAAAGACTGGAGAGACGTCTGTTGGAAGAACTGTTCAAAATGTTTATGGATGCCGATTCTTTTTATTATAGTTTGACTTATGATTTAACAAACTCTGTACAAAGACAAAGTGCATGTGAGAAGACTAACTTGCCCCTCTGGAAAAAGGTAATATGTCTCTTGAATGATCATCCATAGATACAAATGTGGATATATTTTAAGGGAAGAAACATGAGTGTTTCCTTACCTTTCACAAATGAAGTTCTTGTTCCTGGACTGTTTTGATTAATATAAATTTTCTGTAGTTTTCAATATTTTACAGTTTTCTGTAATATTTGGATATAAAAGGTTTACTTTTATATGTTTCAGGTTGATGATAGATTCTTTTGGAATAAGCACATGATTGAAGATCTAATAAACCTTGGAGTAAGTAATATTCCATATACTTATGGTTCCTTGAGAATTTCAATGAATTAATCAGATAGTGCTGTTTTCTTGATACCATTTAGTCTAAAGAGCTCATTAATGTTTCATGTAACTTAGCCTAATTTTCTTTGACACAAACATTTAGGTTTCTGATAGTGCTTCCATTTAAGTAGAAGGTGGAATTGTTACTGAGTTTCAATGACTTTTCACCTGTGATATCATACATTCCTCCATAATTCAAGTTTTCTTAAGATACATGATTTCTGATGTTTCCTCCTAGCTTTCCACAAGGCTGGCAGGAAATTGGAGGTTGCTCTTGTTCCCACTGTTTTTTTTTTTCCACCCATGTTCATTGTGTTTCTCTGCTTAAGTGAGGAAATATCTTTGAAACAATGACTCAATGGCATACAAGTTTTCAAGTAGAATTATATTGGCCAAAGTTTGAGCAAAAAAAAAAATTGCAATAAAGCATAAAATAGAGAAATTGAAGTGTCTAAGTTTTGAATACACATAAGACACTGAAGAAAAGCGTTGGGAATCTCATCCAGATATATAAGTGTATAGAAATAAAGAATCCAACAGTCATATAGTTTTTATCATGAAACACAGTACAGTAGAACCTCTGGTCATGAGCATAATTCGTTCCATATCTTTTGGCAATTTCTTCCTCTACTAACGTTTCGTCTTCAGGAATTTCTGGGTCAGGTGTCGTGTTTGATCGCCACCCAAGTATGTGTTTGTGATTAGATTCAAAAATTTTGTGAATTTTTTGGCCAGAACCCAGTTTGGTCGTGGTCAGAAGCGTTTGATATATTTTTTTGTAAAAATTATTAAATTTTAAACAAATCTGAAGAGTTGGTCTATGTTTTTTTTCTTGGGTTTGTCACCATCCATGAAGTTATGATACCTAGATTGGCTACTTGTTATGAGTTTCTTGAAAGAGCCTTTCCTAGGAGGTAAATAATGAATCTGAGAGTCACTGCAGATACTGACCCAATTCAGAAGGATTTATCTGCTGCTGGAAAAATATTTCTTAGTGGCCTTTTGGCCTAGATAATACCCCAAAGGTGGCCTGCAATTAATATTTTAAAGGAAACTGAAAAGCATCATTCACCTCAAGCAGGAAAAAATAGATTAAAAAAACAAAGTTGATAACACTTTAAATTACTTTGTGTAGTAGAATCATGTAGAACAAAAATGTTTCCAAAAATGGCTGAGGAATTCTGGGACTTGAAGTCCACAAGTCTTAAAGTTTCCAAGGTTGGACACCCCTGATTTAAGTTATTCACAAGTCTTAAAGTTTCCAAGGTTGGACACCCCTGATTTAAGTTATTTCTCTTCCTTTAGAGGAAGAGAAACTTCCAAATAACTCCTTTTTATGACCCTGTTTTATAATCCCTTATAATTCCCACTAAGCAGTTGCTCGGCATTTTCCATTTCATTTTATTAACTCATATTGGTAAACTTCAAATGGTCAACAGTCCAAGTATCCCTGATTTATTTTGAATTGTCTATTAAATTTGTTTTCTTAATTTTTAATTGTTATTTTAAATTTAGCTATGTAGTAAAATTATTATTATGCAATAGAATTTCCTAATATATTAAATATAGTAATAAATGAAACTGCCCAGATTCGCTGCAACAATAAGATGGGTGGCATATAAATTAAATAAATAAATTAAATTACAGAGAGAAAAAAATGCTTAGCTATTTTATTGTAATCTATAGTCAGATATTTATTAATTTAACAAATGCAAATTTTAAAATAAGAACTTGTATACTACTGCTGCAGCTATTTTCATTTCTTTAATTTTGGGGTTCTATAAATTGCATGTATATATTTTTAATGTCCTGCAGCAATCTGAAGTGGACTTTTGGATTATCCCAGTCATTCAGGGATTTGTGCAAATTGAAGAACTTGTAGTTAATTACAGTGAAACATCAGATGAGGAGAAAAGCAGCCCTGAAACACCATCTCAGGAGCCTGTTTGTGTAGATTACATTCATCCAAGTTTTCTTGTGGCACTTATCTCACGGAGGAGCCGCCACAGAGCGGGTAAGTTTGTTCAGTGTAATCTAGAGACCAAAAAGCTTTAGCAATTATTTTTATGGAAACAAGTACTTAAATCCTATTTGCATTTCTGTACAGAAATTAAAATACTCACTTAAGGCCATAAGAAGCATTTGAAAAATTGGACAATACTTCTTTCAGACAATATCCCTCCAACCCATATATTCAGAAAGCAGGACTTATTTCCTTGCTTTGTAGGATGACAGTAAAATGAAGGGATTGTTCATGCTAAGGATATTATATGCTTGGCTATGTTACAATGAATTTCACCACTTAATTATACAGTGTATGTATTGAAGTCATTTTTTCCTGTACTACATCTGTAAATCAGCTTTGTCCTATAAAAGAAAGATAAGTACTAAATTTCTCTTTATCCATATTTTCCATACTTCTATTACAATCCACCCTTAGACATTTTTACCAAGATAAAGAGTCCCAGATATTCTAAGCCTTTTGTCACATGGAAGCTGTTTGAATCCCATGATCAAATTGGATCTGTAGTTTTTTCAGCTATATTATCTCCTAAATGCTAATATTATTTGGGAGACTTTGATGAGGAATGTTATGAAAGACTTTTGTAAATGCAATATTAAGTACCTAGGCTGCTAAGTGAACAAATGTTGTATGAGCTATTAACATGTAAGTCCAATCTCAATTCTAAAATTCCTTGCTTTTTTTCCCCTAGGGATGCGTTACAAACGAAGAGGAGTGGATAAAAATGGGAATGTAGCAAATTATGTAGAGACTGAACAGTTGATCCATGTTCATAATCACACCCTATCTTTTGTTCAGACAAGAGGCTCTGTGCCTGTTTTCTGGAGTCAGGTTGGTTATAGATACAACCCACGGCCACGTCTTGATAAGTGTAAGTATTCATGATATATAATGCAGTTATAACATTATTCAATCATCTTTCAAATTAGTGTGGTAACTTTGATCACAAAGTTATTTTTAAAAATTACTTTCTGCTTATGTCTCCCTAATGTATTTAGGCTGTCATTGTCATCTTCATGGTTATTTTTATAACATGATAAAGATTTTCTTGTTTTTTTAATTAAAAAAGCCAACTGTATTTGATAGAAATGCTATAAAATGAATTTGAATGTTTTACAAATATTTAATTTCATTTTCTCTAGCAAATTCTTAGAATGACATGGTATTCCAAGTAAATGTGCATCTATGTATGTGTATCTGTAGGTGTGCATATTTGAAGGCTTCATTTTTTTCTAGAGAAGTAACCTTAATAACTACTTAACTTAGTCATATCTTGTAGTAGTTTTCTTTCCTTTCTGACAGGGTATGAGTAGGGTTAAAAGGCACTACTTTGGTACTACATTGTCTTCACCCACTTTTCCAGAAAATCCCGATTGAGCAATTTACTGGATATTGACCTGTTTCTTCCTCATTCCTCAAACAAGAGGCAGTGAGAAAGAAAAGGAAAGGAAAGGGAAAAGGAAAAGGAAAACTGGTAGTTCCTTAAGCCCCGATTTATAGAAAACCTTACCTCTGCTCATTCTGACTATCAGACTCTGCTGTTATCCTCTTTTCAAATACCCCTCTTCTCTCCTTCATACTGCATCCATTTCTTTGATCTTATTCAACAGCCAGTTTGGTATTGTAGTAAAGGCAACAGGCTAGAAAGAAAGGATTTTTTCCTCCACAATTACAACTCTATGAGATTCATTGGGAAGCCCAAAGTCACCAGTGAGCTCACATGACTTAAGGTGGACTTGTTCTTGGGTCTCTACAGTCTGTCTAACATCTCCGCTTCTATACTACAGTTGGCTTATTGGTTACTCAGTTAATCTGAACTACAAGAAGACGTATGCCTGTTGTCTTGACTTTATTTGACATACTATTCTTGAAATCTTATAAAGAGTGACCTTACACAGGCTATTCGTGTGACTCCATACAGCATATTTTAATACAGTCAAATCTGGAATTGAAATGTTATGGTGGCTTGTTAAGATATGTCAGCTTGTAACTTGCTATTTTGGAATAGTATTTAGATGTGTTGAAAGACTGAATTTGAATTATATCCTGTCATTGAATATTGCATTACCACCCTCTTTTCCATAAATTACAATCTTTAGAATAATTATTAAATTCTTACATGAAGATCATTTGAATATTTTATTTATTTATTTGTTTTAATCTCAAGTAACTTTGGGTGGATAGAAATACAGTCAAACCCCCCTCCCCAATAAATTGATAATTGGCAGCCAAAATAAAAACAACTATAAAATCAATTATAAGTAGACATATAGTATAAATATTTCAATAAAATTAATATCTAAGACCTTGCTCACTGTAGTTTTTTAAAAAGTTCTTGTGTATTGCAAAGATGTAATTGCAGATTTGTCTTAGAGGATTAGATGGAGTGATTTAATGCATCTGGTTTTTACTAACCAACTGATGGTGGATTTTATCAAGTGTTTGAAAGGGACCAATGTAATGTAAGACCTTCCATGGTTCTCCAATATTAGCAGGACATTTTTTGTGCTCTCTGAAGAAAAAGATGCTCCTCCAAATGTTTTCTTTACTTCATCTTTAACATTAATGGTATGAAATCAAACACAGCCCCATCAGTGTCATTTTTGGGTGATTCTAAAGATTAAGTGAGCTTAAACATTTGGAAGTTTTGCTTTTGGGGAGGTAGGTGAAGTTAAGAGCCAAAATGGCTGCTTTAAGCTTTTCAAATGTTTAAGGCAATCATTTCACTCTTTAAACTCTGAAACTGCCTCTCCAAATGTGTCCTAGTCCTCTCCAGTTTTTGAATTGTGGCTATTTATATACCTCTGCCATGAAAACCTCTTGAAAATATGATATTTGTGCAACAGTATTGTATTGGGTCAGAGGCCAAATCAACTTGCCAGCTGCTGGGATGCTGCTGAGGTCTCTTTCTATTATCTTTTAAATAAAAAAATGCTTTATTATAATGTAGTTATTTTGATGAATTTTGGCACTATGTAATTGTTGTCAACTGATTTGGCAGTTGTAATTGAAGTATTCAAATGGCATGCTGTCCATAGTCTACTAAAGACTTATACACACAGACAAGCATTTAAAAAACTGCAGTTAAAAATGTGTAGCTACAAACAAAGGTCCTGTTATATATTTGCTAACATACATTGCTTAATAATTATTTGTAAATATTATTGCACTGAATTATAGAATCTATAATATTTTTTAAAAATATTTTAATTACATTCTAATTCAGTCCAATGATATGCTGTTCCAATCTAATACTGCCAGTGGCGGACTAAGGTTCACTGGTGCCCTAAGCACTGACAAATCTTGGTGCCCCCCCCCCTCCTTTATACATATTGTACAAATGGAGCCATATTCTCAACTTTGTGGTGCTCTCTTTGGGCCTGGTGCCCTAAGCACGTGCTTAGTCTGCTTAATGGTTAATACACCACTGAACACGGCTGCTTAAAGGCGCAGTCAACCAATATATCTTTCTTTTGTAGGTGAGAAAGAAACTGTTACTTACTTCTGTGCACATTTTGAAGAACAATTAAACATTTATAAAAAACAGGTAGGTAAAATAAAAATTTGCTTACCATGTAATTCTGGGTTGTTTCTAACACAAAAATGATGGTTTTCTGTTAGTGGAAAGCATTTTGACTTATGTTTCCTGAGGCAGCTGGGACTTGCTGAATATTCCCATTTCTCCTGCATTTCCTGCCCTACCACTAGTCATATTTCATAGGAGTTTTCTGGGGCAAACTTTTGAGATGAGGAAAATTTTCTAGAAACTGAAGAGGCAAAAGGTGAATTTACGTCATGTTACATAAACAGAAATGTATCCCTTTAAGGCAGTGTTTCTCAACTCTCACTTTAAGACGGATGGACTTCAACTCCCAGAATTCCTCAGCCAGGGTGGAGGGGTTCACTCATCTTAAAGATGCCAAGATTGAGAAACACTGGTTTAGAGTGAAGCATTTAGTGAACATGACTGTGCATTTCTTCTGACTCATATAAAATGTGAGATTAAATATTATTTTTAACAAACTGATAAAGTTTTTAATATACATTGACTAAATGCTCCTTAGCAGTCATTTAGAAAACAAGCCCTTAAAAATTAAAATAAGAACCACTTCTCCTGTAATTCTAAGTGGAGTTAAGACATGTACATTCATTTTTTAAAACGTATTTTTATATTTTCCTATCTTTAAACAGATTATTATTAACCTAGTGGACCAGACTGGACGAGAAAAAATTATTGGTGATGCTTACCTTAAACAAGTTTTATTGTACAATAATCCAAGACTTACATACGTTTCATTTGATTTCCATGAACATTGGTAAGACTATGAAAGAATCTTAACCTAACAAATATTAGAATGTACAGTCTTTTGCTATACTTGACATTATATGATACATGATGACAGAAGTTCTTCATAGCTAAGATTTGGGGGTTTCCCACAAGAGTTTTCATGGGTGAAGGATTACAAGGCTTTTGTAAACTTTGATTTATTTTTTTTCAAAAAGTGCCTTAATAAAAAATGTATTCCCGTATATATGTGCATTTATGTATATACTAAAATCAGGGTGTAGCGGTCTGTCTTGATTAATCTATGGGTTATTTGATAGCAGATTGTAAAAAAAAGGGGGAAAACTTGGGGATTTTAAAAAGATTCTGTGTAATAAGCAGCACATTCTTTTAGCACAATATATTTTTTGTAGCAAACTCTGCCTTTTTTCTACTTTTTAGCCGTGGAATGAAATTTGAAAACGTTCAAACCCTTACGGATGCAATTTCTGACATAATCACTGATGTAAAGTGGTGTTGGTAGGTATTCAATGTTGGAATGAGGGAAAGACTTGGGGAGTATTAGGCAAAATGCATCTCCATAACAATTTTCATCTAGAGCTTTCTGTTTTCCATGGAGATGAGAGATTCTGCAAACCGAGATATGTTGGGCACTAATATGATTAACAGTAACTCATACTGTATATAACCACCCAAAACTGTTTTATTTTATATACTAAGAATATGAATATATACAGTGGTACCTCAGTACTCATTGTTGATTGGTTCTGGGAGGCGATGAGAACCATAAATGATGAGTACCAAACAAATTTCTCCCATAAGAAATAATGTAGTGAGTCACAAAGCAGCTGACCCTGACAAGTTCTAGCTTGTGTGTTGAGTATCAAACAAACAATGAGTAGTGAGACAAAATGTTGAGTACCAAACTCAAAGAGTTTCAAAGCAGTTGAGTACCAAGGTACCATTGCATTTTTATTTAGTATGGTAGAGAATAGCCACTTTTTAAAAAAGTTTTTCAATTATTTAATATCCCTGTTTTGGAAGGGTGGATCAAGCTGGTGTAATTTGTAAACAAGAAGGAATTTTCCGTGTTAACTGTATGGATTGTCTGGATCGAACCAACGTTGTCCAAGCAGCAATTGCTCGTGCCGTTATGGAACAGCAGGTACAACAGTGTAAACTATAGTGATTGCTCTTAAAGAGAACACTTATATAGGGATTTGGAAAAGTGTGCTTATCTTTAAATTGCTTCCAAATAATTCATACAGAAGAGTTGAACTTACTGAAGGGAAACAGCTATAGTAGTGCTGGAATTTGTTTTCTAGAAATTGTATAGATAATGCTAAAATTCAAAATGTAAATGCTCCTTTACACTGGTGCTTTTCAGTAAAATGATTTAAAATGCCTTTTTTGTTTTTAGCCTGGTCATGCAAATTAAGTACAAAGTCATAAATTCCCAGTTAAAGAGGAAAGTGAAAAAGGAACTTGCAGTGAATACACATTTTCAGTAGTAGGAACTTATTATTAATTAGAAAGTAGTATAATTTGGATTGTTTTGGAGATTTCATCTAAAAATTGTCACAGGAACATAGAAAGCTTCCCCCCACTTGGTGCTCTCTGTATGTATTAAACGATAACTTTTATCATATAAAGATAATTGTTACCTGATACATTTGGAGGTAATTGGATAAGAAAAGATTGGTTGGAAGTTTTCATTATTTTATTTTTCATTTTATAGTTTTTAATAAAACAAATGACAATTAATAATAAATACATTAAATTTCAGCTGAAAAAATTAGGTGTAATGCCCCCAGAACAAGCATTGCCAGTGAAGTGCAATAGAATTTATCAGATCATATGGGCTAACAACGGTGATGCTATAAGCAGACAATATGCTGGAACAGCAGCTTTAAAGGTAAATATTTTATTTAATGTAAGGAAAAGGAAAGAAGATTTTTCAGGAATATGCATGTATTGCCTTATATTTTGAAGTCACTGTCCATAGTATCACTTTTGAATGAAATAATTGAGATCCTGTGGATTCTACACGTCCTTATTGCTGAGAGAGTAGTTTTTCAAAATTTAGAAAAATAAATATGGCCGTTATGGATTGAAATTGTGTTTTATGAATGAGTTGCTTATATATATTGATTGTGGATTATTACAATAAAATAGTGGCCACCGCTTATTGAAACTGTTGTATAATGTTTTTCATGCATGTATGGATAGCTTCGATTCGGCCCTGTCTGTGCTGTACGGCACATTAGACAAATTGTTCTGCACAATTTCACTTCAGTGTTTATAATTTTTGTTATTTTCTTTTGCTAAATGTTTTTGTTTTATTACATAAAAGCAAAATGAGTCATACCAAAGTCAATAGGAATAAAGAAGAGCTGTGTTTATACATTACACTAAAGCAGAAATTAGGGTTTATTAATTCCATTGGCTTGGTTTCATAAAATACTAAACCAACATGAAACAAACCACATTTAACATTCTATGTGAATCTAGCAAATATTTCATTTTTATATTGACTGTGCTTATATACCAAACTTAATCTATTTACCAGATTTACTCATTTTTCCTTGTTTGCATAATATATTGAACTTGGAATATGTTCTGATGACTATACATGTAAACAAATAATAGTTTGCACTGGGGTTGTACATTTGCAATCTCTTGTTCTTAAATTGGCTTGCTTAAGTGTGTTGTGTGAATATGGTTTATGGTTTACAGTCATCATGTGGACAACTTGGGGGAGAGGGCTATATTCTGATGGGGATATATTTGGGTTTGAAGAACCTTAACACATTTCTTTCCAGACCTAATTTTTATTAACAAGGCAACACAATTTGAGGAATGCTTTGGAGCAGAAGTGGGATTCATTTTTTTTACTACTGGTTCTGTGGGCGTGGCTTGGTGGGCATGGCAGGGGAAGGATACTGTAAAATCTCCAGTCAGAGGTGGTATTTGTCGGTTCTCTGAACTGCTCAAAAGTTCCGCTACCGGTTCTCCAGAACTGGTCAGAACCTGCTGAATACCACCTCTGCTTTGGAGGCCAAAAAGGAAAGAGCTATCCAATATTGAAAGTAGAACTTTTTCTAAATGATATGTAAATTGCACACTGAATATTCAGGGATATATTTTGTATAATAGGGTGACTTCACAAGGACTGGTGAAAGGAAGCTGGCAGGAGTTATGAAAGATGGTGTTAACTCTGCAAATAGATACTACTTAAACCGCTTCAGAGATGCTTATAGACAAGCAGTCATAGGTAAGACAGTTGCCATTTTACACCAAATGGATAAAGTATTTGTGTTATTTATGAATGAGCAAAGCACTGGGGTGTATTCCTTATTATTCCTAATTGGCCCTTCATGCTTGTGGAAATGACTGAGAAAATCTTTTTTCTTCATTTCACTTCCTTGTTCAGAAAGCAATAAATCAGTGATCTTGACATGCATGTATTAAGTAAGTCTTGATCACACCTAATTTAAATATTTGGCAGGAGGATGCAAATTAGGCTACTTCTTTGTGAATAAAGATTATTTTTAAAAAATCAGTTTAAGTGGTTCCTATATAATCGTTGAGCCTATGTTAGTGGAATTTTTTTCTCAAGTCTGCTTTTTTTGAGTTTATGTCATTTTGAAGATTCTTCATATTAATGAAAAATGTATCATATGTTATTTAAATATAGTTTCGATTGGTTCATTATAGCTGATTATTCTTGAAATATTAAAAAAATCCTAATATTAGCATATTTATTTTTAAGTTGCATTGATACTATTGTTTGGTTTTTTTCAAATTTGGCTAAAAGGAGTTATATATATTTCATAACTATACTCCAGATTTTTTCCAGTTATGGCCAGGTTATGATTAGGAGGTTAGAAAAGCACGACAAATGGTAAGGAAGCAGCCTACCTTCCTCCATCAATAATTAAGTACTATTTTTATTATGCTGAATATTTAAAACTGAATTTTCATGGTACATACCAGCAACTGTTTTCTATGACCATGCCCAGCTTTCATTGAATCATTGTGTGCACTTTGTGTTTGTCTAGATTTAATGCAGGGCATTCCTGTGACAGAAGATCTCTATTCCATATTTACTAAAGAAAAAGAGCATGAAGCCTTGCACCAAGAAAATTTGAGAAGTCATCAGGAATTGATTAGCCAATTATTGCAGAGTTACATGAAATTGCTTTTACCAGACGATGAAAAATTTCATGGTGGTTGGGCACTGATTGACTGTGACCCCAGGTAGGGAGAGTCTTAAATATTTGATTATAAAATCCTACACTTTTACGCAATTTGTCATAAGACAGTGCAGTGAGAATAAAACATATGAATCGTAATATTGTCTTTTATGCAACTCCTATTAGTTTATTATGAATTCTAAGTGAGTAGAGTAAGAAAGTTGATAATATGAATACCGTTGACAAACAAAAACAGCAGAATAATGTAATTACTACTTTCAGTGTTAGGCAGATATAATTTTTTATATTTTCAATATGGTTGGTACTTTTATGTATAACTGTATCATATACAATACTGGTTTCACTCATAGAAATTTTAGTAATATCCATTACCAATCTTGAAATCTCAAGTGGATTTAAAATAGGATAATCAGTTAAAGTGCTGTTTGACCTTTAAAGAATTTTATAAAGTTTAGGATCTGTATACTGATTATTCTGATGTACTGCCAAGATTTATTTATTTGTTGCTTATTCTGGTTGCTTAGCATAAAATATTCAAAAGGATTAATGCTTTGGGGGAGGTACTCAATATCTTTAGACTTAGTAAATGGTATTAGGGAAAGTATATTTTCAATAATACAGTTAATAGAATGTTCTTGTTAAGAAGTTTTTCTTGTGTTTACTTTATGGTCCTTGTTTGGTGCTAGAGAAAGTACTTTTCCCCACATATTTTCTAAGATAAGGTTTTATTCTGTTTTTGGTTTTGTTGTTAGTGGTTTTTAAGCAGTCTTTAATCATTTTGTTTTTCATTGTGTGATTTAGCATTCATGAATATTTGTTTCAAGAATGAAATAAAATCATAATGTTACAGCCCTTATAATTGTTTACATGAGAGGGTGCTATATCATGGTTGCAAGTCCTTGGGTTTAGCTGATGCTAGCATATCAATAACTTGTATTGCATTTAGTTAATGAAGGATAACATAATTAAGGGGCATGTACTCTCTAAAGGATATTAGGAAACTAGTTCTTCAACAGGTAAAGGAGAAGTTGAACAGAGGAAGGTGAATCCAGTGAGATGAATATGCTCAGAACAGGAATGTGGGGCAGAAGGCCAAGCCTCCCTCCTACTGCTTGGCTTAGGAATCAGGAACTGTGTTTACGATTTATAATAAATGTTTCCATCCTAACTACGAAGTAGAAAAACCTCCAAAAAGTGTTGATGAGATTTATGCTTCAACATTTTTGTTACTACTATTTTTTATTTTAGCCTTATTGATGCTACTCATAGAGACGTGGATGTTCTTCTTCTACTTTCTAACTCTGCATACTATGTAGCCTAGTAAGTAATAATTTTTATTTCACATTGTAGACAAAGTTGTCAGAACTACACTATCCAGGGGTTTGACTCTGAGTGAAGATTTAATTCTGGGCACTTTTTTTCCCTTGTAGCTATGATGATGAAATTGATAAAGTCAATCAGTATCAAAGGCTGACCCTTGAAAATTTGGAGAAGATAGAAATAGGTATGTATTTTACATTCTATATCCTTATTTCTTGCCAGGGCATATTGGTAATTGTAAGAAAACGATTTGAAAAATCTTTCTCTTTTGTATAATGATTTGTATAATGATTTGTTGTGAAACAAATGAACAAATATTTTGTTTCCAATTTGAGAAAACAAACTCATGAATAGTGGCTCTGAAGTTAAGCCGAACTGTTCTGAGCAAGTTGCAATTAGCTGAAGTGGATCCAGGAACATCTTAGTTGTTCCAGGTTGTGGCCTAGGTAAATTCTAGAAGACCTTAATCAGGTAAAACAAATCTGGTGCATTTTTCTCTTTTTCTCTCTGCTCCCCTCTGTGTCGCCTGTGATCTAACTTGTCCACTGATGTCCCAGTGCTTTCTCTTCCCCCTTTCCCTTTAGTTGGTGCTATAGTCTTTGAACTCAACTCCTTAGAAACAACATAAGCCAACTGCCTGCCTTTAAATGGGGAGGGGAAACTTTTAAATGGGAAAGTTCAATATATTGCTCTTAAAGATGACAGAGGCTAAAGGAGGCCAAGTAAGGAGCAAATTGGAAAAAAAAACAGGGGAGAGATGGACCAGTTGGTTGGCTGTACTGGGTTTAATAAAAGGATGGCTGTGGCATGGAGCAGCCATAGCATATACCAACTTTTCCAGAAATTTCCTTTGTTTACTTGTTTTGCTACTGCCAGTGGCTGTTTCCATGCATGCGATGCTATGGATCACTGTGTTTAAAATTTTAAAGCAATACAATAGAAAAGATGGTGAGCTTTTATTAAAATGTTACTTTGATATCCTGCCTTTTGCCAGGGAATTCAAAGTATAAAAAAGAATATTGTTCCTCTTTTATAGATTAATTTGAGGAATTGAATGACCAAAAGTAATTGGTGAGCTTCATTGCTAAACCGGATATAAACCAAATTCTATCACTCACTGGTATAAGAAGAAAAACATACAAAATCCATGGGATTAATCAATCTTTCAATGGTGAATAACTGAAGCTGTAGACAGAATCACAGCATACAGTTCAGGGATAAGTAGAACCCAATAGTAGTTCACCCCAGTTGAACTAGGATAGTCCTTGTTTCTGAGGGGGGTATAATGAAGTATTTTGTTTAAAAAGTAGATTCAGCATTCCTGAATTGTTACTGCTTTTTTTAACAAGGACCTGAACCAACATTCTTTGGAAAACCCAAGTTCTCATGCATGAGGCTTCATTATAAATACAAAGATACAAGTGGGTACTTCCATACACTTAGAGCTGTGGTGCGCAGCCCTGAAGAGGATGGCAAAGGTAAGTATCTATTTTGGGGGGAATGAATAGAATCAGTTTAATTGTTTCTGAGCAATTACAATTTAGCTATGAAAATGAAATGGGACTTTAAATAGTTGAATAATAAAATAACTTGCTTGAAATTAAACCATTACTGAATTACTGACACCAGATCTCTGCTCATTTTCACCAAAATCAGTCCTTCTACAGATTATTTAGCAGGTGTCTGGAAGGGTAGCATATACATTCAAGAGAATTTGGTACATTTGCGCCCGTTCAATTATACTTCCCTAATTATACCATGCATTTTGCAGTATGTTTCAGGCCACCACTCCAATGAGTAGTACAACAGTGTCTAGTACAAACCATTTTTTATTTTATCTCAGTGATAAAAATGAATCTTTGCAACTGAAAATGGCTTAATTCTTTTGCTTTTTGCTTAAATACCTACCTTTATTAATAAGTCATTTGATGTAAAATGAAGGTGAATTTTTCAGGTTAGTACGTAGTACATACTATATTATTTTTGGAAGGCAAATCTATTCAAATAAACTATCATTAGCATCTAGTGAAGAATATGATATTTTCAGGAATTCTGGATTAATTCTTTTTATTTCAGACACTCTTCAGTGCATTGCAGAAATGCTGCGAATCACCAAGCAGGCCATGGGATTAGATGTCCCCATTATTGAGAAAAAACTGGAGAGGTAAATTATATTTTTTTTCATGTTCATAAATTCCCTGACACCTAATTTACTTTAAGCTACAACACTTGTAGTATGTATTACAGTCCTCGACTTACAACCACAATTAAGACCAGAATTTCCTCTGCTAAGCAAGGCAGTTGTTAATGCGCCTGATTTTCAACCTTTTTTGGCACATTGTTTGAGGGAATCACTGCAATTGTTAAGTGAACCATGTGATTGTTAAACAAATCCAGCTTTCCCCTTTAACTTTGCTTGTTGGAAGCCAGCTGGCGAGGACACAAACCTAAGGATCCAACAAGCATTGTAAAGCGATGCCAGTTGCCAAGCACCTGAATTTTCACGATTGTGGGGATCCTGCGACAGTTGTAAATGTGAGGACTGGTTGTAAGTCATTTTTTTCAGTGTTGATGTAGCTTCTAATGGTTACTAAAGGAATAGTTGTAAGTCAAGAACCACCTATCCACCAGCCATCTATTAGTATTAATGATACTTACCTGCTTTTATGTAAATAAAATGTGTCAATTTGGATGCTTTGCTTTTGGGGTTGAGGAGCACTGAGTAGTTACCTAGCTGGGTACTGAAACATTTACAAGAAAACTTTCCAAGTTCAGAGGGCACCAAGGACTACAAAAAGTTCTTAAATATTTATATTACCAGAAGATTCTGTCTTGCAATAATGAGGATGCCGAGTGCCTCAGTACTAATAAACCCCAATTAAAAAAAGAGGAATTTTTATATATCCAGGGTGCACCAAAAGTCAGGCCCTCTAAGCTAATCAGAATACTTTATTGATTTTTTTGGGGGGGGGGGGGGCAAAGAAAATGTGACTAACGTGGAATGCTTAAAGGTCATGCATCAAATGAGTAAGGTGTATTTAAAACAAAATAGTAACCTATTCAAACATTTAATGTAATTTATGTAATAAATTGTCTGTGAAGTCTGATTTTGGGTACACCCTATGTAATCAAATAAGAGATCAAAAGCAGCTCTGTTTTTATTATATGAGTAACAAAGGAAATTATTAGTTTTCTCACTTTTTCAGGAAGAGCAGCAAACCACATGAGGACATCATTGGGATCAGATCCCAGAACAGAGGTTCTTTGGCCCTGGGGAAGAATTACTTAATGAACAAGTTTTCATCTCTTAATCAAAAAGTGAAACAAACCAAATCCAACGTAAATATCAGCAATCTTAGAAAACTGGGAAACTTTACGAAGCCTGAAATGAAAGTCAATTTCTTAAAGCCCAATCTGAAAGTAAATCTTTGGAAATCTGACAGTAGTCTTGAAACCATGGAAAATGCCATGACTGATACTAATGCCAATATAGAATCGGATATTGAGATCTCGTCTGATAACGACTCATTCCATTCAGATGATTTCCTGACAAATTCCAGATCTGATGATGACCAGCAATTCATGGACTCTTTAGAGAATGGACAAGTAGATTATGTCTTACCTAGCTGTGGTATCATTGCATCTGCTCCTCGATTAAATAGTCGCTCCCAATCTATGAGCAGCACTGATATCAACATTAGCATTCCTGTTCCTTCAGACATCCATGTTACGCAATCTGGACACCAAATGAACAATGAATGTGAAGGCAAAACTTTTCAAGAAGCTCTTTCTGCTGAAAATACAACACTAGATGTCACTAAACAGATTGATGTTTACTGTCACAGATTTGTCCAGGATGCTAAAATTAAGATGAACAACAGTGTTTCAGAATGTGAGAGAGGTTCTCAAGAACTCCAAGAAGTGGCACATAATATTAGCAATAATGCTTCTAAGGCAATTGATTGTTTGGGAACTAATAAGGCTCCTTCTAGACCATCTAAACTGGATGTATCGTTTTCAGAGACAGGACCACAATATTTAGTGGTTGAACAGATGAATTTATTTAAGTCTTATAAAAGCCCAGGCTCCTCATCTATTGTTCTTGAAGCTGAGTCAGGGTTTCATGCAACTCCTTCACCAGCGGAAAATAATGGTAGCAGGGCCGTCTCTCCCTTTGCAAAGATACGCAATTCAATGGCACAAGTAGCTAACATTACACAAGCTGGCTTAACCCAAGGAATCAACTTCGCTGTGGCTAAAGTCCAGAAGAGCCCAGCTGAACCAGAAACTATTAATGAAAGTCAGCAAAATGAATTGAAAGAAATGTTTACCCAGTGTCAAACACGAATAATTCAGATTTAGAGCTCAAGATCCTGTTGTATATACTATTGAACAAATATTGTTTGTAACATAAATTCTAGGGAAGGGCAAACTGAATTTTGTTAAGAATACCAATAACAATGTTTACAGAAACCGATGGAGAAATTAGTTGGGTTTTGAACAGGTTTCAGAACTGTTTTGTAGCAAGTGAGTGACAGTAAATTGTATTAAACAGGTAACTCGCACAGCAGTTGTTGATGTGCATGCTGTTTGTTTAGGTGATCAGATGCACAATTATATCTTTTGGGGCAAGTTTTTTATAAGTCTTCAGATTTGTGTAGAATATTTATATTAACGGTCTGGTACTAAACACCTGTTATCTTATTAATCTTGCACTGTTCCAGTGAATATTTTACTCATAGATGGCATTCTATTTATTTTTCTCCAGATTTATTTAATTTTTTAAACATTTGTGTTCCTTGAACAGGTTTCATTCCTAAGGAAATGGTCACTGTAGAGGGAGTATTTAAAAAAAAATGCTTTGGCATTTATTCTCCCTTTCTTTCACCAGTTCCTTGCTTCTTTCTACCTCTATTGACTAAGTTATGGTGTCTAGAAGTATGTTTGTTAAAAGCTTTCAGGGCAGCTGCTGAAAGGGCTTTTCTAGCTGAAAATAATAATAATCCTCAATGTGTCTAGGAACCATAATGCATTATTTTCCAAGAAACTAGTTGCATATTCTTAGAACATAGTCGTTTCTGGATCAAAGCAAAAATCGTAAGCTTGATATCAAATTCTGATTAAAAATGTATCCATATGAGGAGATATTACCTAAACGTATTCAAGGGATCTTCAGTAATATAACTGACAACATATTCTTCCTTACTTTACCTTACTCTCCTGTCTAAAATGTGATCAGTGCAATGTGTTTCAGAAGTTACTATAGCTATCTTAACATCAGTTTTAGCAGAGAAATGAAATTGTGTTTAAATGCTAGCTCATTTCTTAGAAGCATGCTGTTATTTCCCAGAACAGTCTTGTGATGGAACTACAATAGAATGTAGCAGCAGAAACAACACTGAATGCAATCTTGTTCCTTCATAACCTATCCTTATGCTAGAAGTTGGGTTTCTGTTAGTACATGTGTACTATAGCTAGATTGCATGTAGTGTTCTGAACAGTTAATGAGTCAATTATATGTCTGAGTGTCTCTACTATATCAGAAGTTATAACTTACTTCAGTTGTCTTTTGTGTGATACTTTTGTACTGTTTGTATTTTGTTATTTATTAATATTTTAATGTGTGTTCTTTTGAGAGTACCTATACATTTAAGTATATTTAGAATAAAACTGTATTGTTTTATGTGGGAAACAAGAGCTATTTTAATAAAAAATAAAATACTATGCATTTTGGTGTATATGGTTCAAGGTACTAAGGATCTTTGTCAGTTCATTTAGAAGACTAAAACTGCTTCTTTGGTCTTTTGTTTTCTTATTATTATACATCTTTATTATTTTTTTGGCAGCAACATGCTTAATTACTAAAAAACTGTTCTGAGGATGCTATCTTGATAAAGTGATTATGTCAGAGGAGTTACTGCACAGATCTGTCTGGAGCCATGAGAAATAGGACGTTAATGAAGTATACTACTTGGTAACAGATGCAAGGGATGTCTATAAATGACTACCATGAACACTTGCCTACTGCTTTTCCTCAAGGTAGAGGGAATTGAAAATATCAGACTGCTAGCTCATCAGTCATAAAAGCTGATGTAAGTCATATTTAAAGTTTTGCTTGTCTGGTGACAGACTTACAGAAAAGAGTTTACTCTTTTCCCTGAATGTTCCTGAAAATTCCTGAATATGTTCCTGAATATTCTGAAAATTCCAGTAGGTCAAATTCATATTTCAAATGTGGGATACACATTTCTTCAAAATCTTATTCTGAGTAAATAGTAATTAATAAATTTATGACTAGGATATATTCACAGAGCTAAATTTGATGAAAAGTAACCATTCATGGAACCAATTGTAAGTGGAGAGCCATTTTCAACAAATTGTACTTTCTACTGTAACTTTCAAACCAATCCCATTAAAATCTGGTATGTGTACTAATGCCATAAAATGTTTATCTGTTATAATAATTCTTAGTAAAAATGTGACATCGTTTTTATAGTAAATCTTTAATATCAAACAGATTTTCCATAGTTGCTAATTAGGTTACAAAACAAGCTCCAAAATTTATCAGTGTTAATCTGCTTCAACACCATAAATTGGGTTCATTTGAGAAAAGAGCCATAACTTTGATATAAATTATCTACAAAACCCAGTATAAACATAAGCTCTGTTCGTATCAGCTCTACAAATGTTAGGCATGTTTAGTCTTATAAACATGGGTACTGTTGTCCTAAAGTTCATTTCCATTTACAGATTTTTGCGGCTGTAATCTGGCTTTACGTAGTGCCTCCATTTGCTTTGCTCTGAGCCACCTCTCTCTCGATAGTGTTGTCTGCCCAGCACTAAGAGAAAGGAACCTATGGACAAGAAATAGATAAACCTCTTTAGAATCTATATAGTACTAAAATTCTGATTCCTGTAATCTTTAACTGGGCAAAACGGTGCACTATAAGACAAAACTTTTTGAACCAAGGTAGTTCAAATGAATTAACTTACAGAACATGTTCAAAATCTAGGAGACATGACTCCTATGGTATTGAAACTTGGCAGAATTTTATAAAAGGCTTCCTGGGCTATTTGACTATGCTGTATAGTTCAACATAAGCTATTTTCAAGGCAGATACATCTCTGAATGTATTCCAGCTTTTCTGCTGGAGGCAATATATTTAGAAAGTCTGTCATTGTTGGACATCTGGTAAAGAAACCTGGTAAAGAAATATCTGAAACGATGACCCAGTGAAGAACAGGTTGTATGGTGCAAACGAAAAGCTTTATTATAATCAAAATGAAACAAACAGAAGCATATAAATAATGAAAGCATATAAATAATGAAATTTGTGTACAGAGAAAGTCATATCCTGAAGCTCATTTAAGAATTCCCCTCAAGTCCAAGCTCAACTGTTGGATATTACAGATACACTTTTCTGCACTTGTCAGCAGCAAGGGGCTTGTTTATTTCTGGGATTGGTTCATGATTTCCTGACTAGCCAACACCCTGGAATTCCCTGGTAATTTCTTCCAAGTACTAACCAGTCTGAAAATGTTTTAGCTAAGATAACATTTGCCAGATATTGCCATTGGTTGAGACAACGCTCCTTTGGGCTTGGCAAATAAACTCATTCTGTGGAATCAGATACTTAATGGAGCCCTAAAACAACCTGATGAATTCTTCTCATTGGGTCTCAACAGTAGTATCCAAAAGACTGCAACATAACAATGTTACAGTGATATATGGTAAAGACTATGAATTAATGAAAGAAAAATACAACCATTCCTTGTTTAGTATTTAGCAATACTTTGCAAATGTGACAAATTTCATTTTCTTGCCAATAGACACATTTAGAACAAATTTTTGCAACTGACAAAAAGCCTTTAAGGTAAAACTTTATTAAAGTCTGGTCACTTTCAGGCAGCCCTGCAAGCAGGTGGGAGAGTTCTAATCTAATCAAGGTAGTAGAACTGAGCTTGTTAACTTGCAGTTATCACTTTTTAGGGAAGTGCTCTGTTGCAGAGAAAAAACAGCTTAGCTCATATTTAAGCAATCATTCCACCCTGCCAAAAGGTCAAAAAAAATAAAAATAAAGTCAGGTACAGAACACTGGTGAGATCTTTAAACGAGGCAGCAATCTTATTGAAAGGGAAAGGAGGAGGAAAGGGCTTGCTCTTAAAATTTCCAGGTTGATTTCCAGGAAAAGAGTTGGGGGGGGGGGGATGAGAAAAATAATGTCTCTTCTCTTACTCCTCCTATGACATGAATGAGAAAAATTCATGGTCTTAGCTACAAAAGCCTGCTGGGTAACCTTGGGCCAATTATCAGTTCAACCCACCTTACAGGATTGTTGTGGGAAAATAGGAGGAGGAGAAGGATGTGTTGGATATGTTCACCATTTTGAGTTATTTGTAAAAACAACAGAGTTGGGATACAAAGAAACAAAAATGCACTCTTTCCAAACTTTGCATATAGTCTTTTCTATGCAATCATTATTTAATCTATCTCACTTAAAAATAAAATTAAAGCACTGTTGGAGGAGGATTATTTGTTTTTCTATTTTCTACCTGCTGTTCTAGTCTGTTTTATTTTCATGATTCCTGGGATACATTTTCATTAACCAAAGACAGCTTAGTTTCTGAATTTGGGATGATGCTCCTACATGGCAGACCTGACTCATCTAGACAACAATTCGGACAAATTAATCCCTATTACTATTTTTCCACTATTTCATCCACACTTTGCTTGAATGGCTGGAGCCATTTTCTATGTAGGCCCCATAGCTTGGTCCGTACTTCTTGTGCATTATTATGCATTTTCTTACTTTCACTGAAAATCAAAGCCTGAGCTGTCATATATGTCACATCATCGACACATGTTCTTGTTTTTGATTGCTTTAGTAAGTGATAACTTCAGTAAACATTTGTGCTCTTACCTAGCTACCAGTAGAGTTCTGTGAAGATCATCTGCTGTTATGCTGTCAGGATCGTTTTTACGCATTTCTACAAAATCCTCTTCTACTGCCTGTTGAAGAGAGAAATTAAAGCTTTATCATTTAAACTTAGATTTGCCTCCCAAAGTCCAGAAGAAGATTGGCCTATAATTTTCTCCCTCCAAATGCTAATTTTTAGCCAGTGTTTTTGCATGTGACTTTTTTGTTGTTGTTAGTCATATGTCTGACCCATTGTGACCCCATGGACAACGTTCCTCCAGGCTTTCCTGTCCTCTACCACCCTCCGGAGTCCATCTAAGCTCACGCTGACTGCTTCAGTGACTCCATCCAGTCACCTCATTCTGTGCCTCTAATGTTTTAATGTTCCACCATACTGATAGTAATAGAAGTTCAAAACAAGCTTCTTCCTCTAGCTGTTTTATTTTAGGTGAGAAAGGGGGTTGAGTACTTTATCATCATACATCCTAATGCTAATAGAATTATTTGTCCCAATCTGAACACTTAACAATAAATGA